GTATTCTACGTATTTACTTACGTAATAATTATTTATGTGCGTATGTGTACCACTTTAGCGGTTAGTAGGTATATAGGAAGCGCTACAACGTTATCTAAATTGATAACCTTTGTAGCATATTGCTCTGGAGCTATATTAATGTAAATAATATATCAGTGCCTGGTTACGCGTTCATAGATAAACAGTTAAATATTCTTGTATGTAGTTAGTTACTGTTTTGTTATAGTAATAAAGATGCTAAGATTTAAACAACTGCATGTAAACAAAAGGCAAACTTGTGTGTTCTATTATTTTCTAAAAAATTGGTTCATTCTGGATTTTACAGGTTAAGTAAATTTTTGTGTTCATGTAAGTCAGTAATAAAATATTGAGTTACGACTACAAACCAAACTAACATAAGAAAACGTCGAAATAGGTATGTCTACTATCCAAAATGTAGTTTAGTTATTTATTAGTTTTCTTTATCTTCTTCAATTTTCAGCAATGACAAAGTCAATGATGCAAACAAAAACAAAAGTGAATCATAAAATTACATGATTGTGACGATTTTATCATTATGGTAGTATTCGATAACAGGTAAAGAAACCATAATTAGACATTTATCAAAATTGTTTTAAATTGATAAGTGTACAGTTATGCCTCAAACGTCCAATAATTTTACATGTTTAAAAACCTAAAAACTATTAAGTACCTAAATAAATACAAAGGGTCAGATAGTCCCTACTAACACTAGTCTCATAATTCATACGTACTCTGACAGTAGTGACAGTAACTCTACTTCTAAAACCTGCTGCTACAAGTGTAACTGCGTTTAACATAAAAACTTCCATAAACATTTTGCAATAAGCAATCTGTATAAATGCGCCAATGAGCACCTCTGTCTGCTTCGAGCAACGCGGAAATAGAGGTGAAAGTGGGGTGAAAGCTGCGCGCAACGTTTACCTAATCGCATTGGTGCGGCGCGGGCGCTGCGGCGGGCCGCGTTACATCAGCGCCACACGACACAAATGTGAAAGTCAATGTTACATTCGATAATCGTGCTGCTCGAGACACACATGATGATTGCCAGACGGAATTCGCTAGGGTTACCGTTAATTTGTACCGTTAAATGTATTTAGACTTGCAGTTAACTACCTAATCAATACTTTTCCTTCTCCCAACAACACCATAGTATTTTTCCTTTGTGACGTGGAAGTTAAGAAATGTGGAATGTGTATCTCGTGATAACACTAACGATCATTAGTAGAGTGATTAATAAAATATACATCACATTAAGTAGTAATAAATTATACGTAGTTAAACAGATAACTACAAAATTAACTAGGTAATGATAACCAGGAAGTGTAGATTTTGCAGAAATTGTGAAGCGTGCAAGGACATTACTTACCTATGTTCAAAGTCACTTTAGCTACAAAATTAATACACACGGTACTAAGTAAACCAACACGAGGACGACGTATTTCACGAAATGGAGCGTACAGAGAAAGTGGTCGGTCGTTATCGTAACGGTAAGTGATAGTCGGTATCTAAGTGGGTCGGAGCTCGGCGCAAACGCTAACTAGTGCAAACTGGTGTCCCTTCGTCCAGCATACTCACCATGGAATCCTGATATTTCATGAATGTCAAAAAACTGTTCTGAAATAGTGCTAAATAGTGCCCAAAGGAAAAAAATAGTGCTCTTGTACTTGCGAAGTTATAGCCATAGTTCGATGAGTATGCTGGACGAAGGTTTCGCCCAGCATACTCACCTCCGTCCGGAGAATCTGTATACGCTTCAAACATAATTCATACTTCAAAAAATAGTTCCCAAATAGTGCCAAACGGTGCCCAAAAAGAAAAAACAGTGCTCGAATAACTTCGGAGTTATAGGCTTCGTTCAGTGAGTATGCTGGGCGTAGGTTCTACGCCCAGCATACTCACCTCAGTGCGCGAATATCGAACGAGCTATAGGTACAATTTACGTCTCAAAAAATTGTGCTTGAAATAGTGCCCAATATCAGTCCAATTTTTGCTTGACTTTTGACCTAGAAAACCATTAAATTTGATTGTAAACTTCTACATACATTACATTGAGTACAGTCGAATACAATATTATTAACTTTCTTTCTAACAATTTTTGTCTTGTGTAAATTATTAATTGTCTATGTAAGGGAGTATTTACTTTAGAATCGCAATATTATTAATTACACATTATTTTAATAATACTTTATAATAATATGATTAAGCCTTCGCGCGTCGCATGGGACCCCGGTAGCTAGGAACAATGATTTTATATATTTTGTCTAGATCACGGCGCTTGAAGGATTAAGATATCAAATGAAGTAAATCATGCATGAAAAATAAAGTTGCTGTTATTAATGCTTACATTACAACTGACAAAATTATTCAAAATAATCATTTTCCGGATCAAGGACGGTACCACAACGTTTACGGAATTGACCTGTATTCCTCATGTGATAAAGTTCAATATAGTGTGGCACTGATTACTTTGGCCCTTTAAATAGTAATAAATAACGTAAGTAATTAAAAATGTTTTTTATTGCTAAACCTTTCATTGATGAAACTATTGGAAAGAGTTTTAAAAATTTGTATAACTATGTCACAGTACTAGTTTTGACTGGTTATAAGTTTTGCCTGCAACATATATACAAAAAGAAACTGTATAATTTCCTTTTTACAATTTTTCAAGATATTAATTTTATTGGCTGCAAATGACTGTTTTTATTCAGACAAACACACAATGCAATGAAGTAATAGACTTCATTTACGCTTAAAGTTTCATTCATTTATTATTATTTATAAAATATATAATAATGCATTTAATCGAAAGTTTTTGACATGTGAGAAAATACCATAATTATTTCCAATAACATGAAGTCTACAATTAGAAAGTTTAATATTTTTGTCCAAAAACATGTGTCGACGACTGTACCCCATTTTACGTTAGTATGTAGAAGTTTACATTAAAATTTAATGGTTTTCTAAGTCAAAAGTCAAGCAAAAATTGGACTGATATTGGGCACTATTTCAAGCACAATTTTTTGAGACGTAAATTGTACCTATAGCTCGTTCGATATTCGCGCACTGAGGTGAGTATGCTGGGCGTAGAACCTACGCCCAGCATACTCACTGAACGAAGCCTATAACTCCGAAGTTATTCGAGCACTGTTTTTTCTTTTTGGGCACCGTTTGGCACTATTTGGGAACTATTTTTTGAAGTATGAATTATGTTTGAAGCGTATACAGATTCTCCGGACGGAGGTGAGTATGCTGGGCGAAACCTTCGTCCAGCATACTCATCGAACTATGGCTATAACTTCGCAAGTACAAGAGCACTATTTTTTTCCTTTGGGCACTATTTAGCACTATTTCAGAACAGTTTTTTGACATTCATGAAATATCAGGATTCCATGGTGAGTATGCTGGACGAAGGGACACTGCAAACTGCTGTTATCTGCTAAATACGTACAGTATTTCACTCTATTTGTGTGTACAAACAGCCAAAACGTTTATTTGAAAATACATTTAACACTAAATATCTAGGGGCCCGGCAGTGTCCTCGCCAAATTGATCAAAAAAGCGGCACGGCCGTATCTATAATTTTTTTCTCGAAGCGATTCAGGGATTCATTTTCGACGCCCTATATATCGTTGCAGATTAAACTAGAAGCCTGAATGTTTAGCCGAACGTCAATATATATTACAAAAGAAAAGCTTCAAATCTCTTACTTATACCCAATCAATTTAGGGTGGCAATTATTTTATCGATAAATTCTTGACCCAAATCTGATCAAGTGGCTCTTAATAATGGAATGTAGGCTACTAAATTATAAAATACAACTAATTAATTACTGGGTTCTATCGATCGCGGTTTCACTTGAGTAGAAATAGGTAGGTATGTAATTAATGTGACAGAATATCGAGATTCTCACAGGTTTTAGATCTCCCAAGTTCCCAAGTGTCCGTATCCTAAGAGCGGTTACTCTATCTGCCGATCAGCAATTATTGCCAGTGACCAAGTAGGGAGCAGTTAATATCAGCGGAGGTTGTTTTAAAGTGCTAATAACGAGTGCCTTCCTTGTAATGTCGTCAGTGTCTGTCTGCGGCGAATAGGAAACGCCAGCCGCCCGCGAATGTGCCTTGACCCACTTTAGACCTACCTCTTCATGAGTGCGAACCTAGCTCTCGCTAGCTATCACATGTTGTTTATTTTATTCAATTTTAACGCTTCCACTCCCGAAAATTAACATAGAAAGGTCAATATTTGGCAGGTTTTTATGGCTGTAATACATAAGAAAATTGACTGATAAGTAGGGAGGTTCCTTCTAATTTCGTTGGGTTTGATTACGATTCAAGGGGTTTAAAAGTTTACAGGGATAACAAATAGTAATTTAAACAAATATCGAGAGCACAGAATGTCAACCGTGTTCTAAATTTAGTGAACTTGCTCACGAGGTCGCGATGCGCGTCAGTCAAATCGTAAAGATGGCGCCCGTATATTCGCAATCTCGATGTCTCATTAGCTTTGCAGCCTTGCTCAACAATTCACAATGAGTAATTTATACATGTAGCAAATAGATTCAGAAGGCCAGCATAGCGAGCGAGCGTGAGAATTCGTAGAATGTTCACTGCACCTGCCTGAACTCTCCCAATCAGAATTTACGGCATCGAGAACAAAACATCTGACATTTTGTATTTTTTTTTTGTGTCATGTAGTGTTTCAAATAATTTTCGTTTCCTCTTTCGTGTGTTTTGTTAGATAACTGAATAAAAAACAAAACTACCTATTTCTTGCCTGGTGGTAACAAATCGCCGATAGTTAATGTAGGCCGTCTACATTGTATTCAAGTTGAATTATTCAAATAAATACCGAATGAGGTTTATAGTTCGAACCTGTTCGATCCAAAAATAAAAAAAAACGGGTAAAAATTTCAATTGCGGAGCTTAAGTAGAAAACGTCAAGTTACTAGCATTATTAAATAAAGAAATATTAATACTTACAATGGCCATTTAGCTGCTGGTAATCCAAATAGATAACAATCCAATAAAAACACAAATCACTTGTTTACAGAGCATAACAATCAGAGAACTGTCGTTGAAGTGTACACTGCACTTTTAAATAAATCAATTATCTCCGATACAATTCAATCGTTGCACACACACTGAGCGGATAATTCACGAACTCCACTGTGAGTTTCTTCAATAACAGTATAAATAAGATTACATAAAACCACACACACCGTATCTGGGTTCACACCCAGTTCCAAGTAGGTACCTGTAACAAGACAAAGCGGTAGTAAGTTTTACGATTCTATTTAATTATCAACGAAGATGGAACTGCATTCCTAAATACAAAACACTGAGATAGACACGTGTCACTTACTGGATTGTGTGACTTTTAAAATAAGCACAAAATTAACTATGACGTAAAGAAGTCTGTAGTAGTCGAGACGCGAAACGTGCGGTCCGTTCACCGACCAAACGCTGACTGGCTGGCGCAATGGAGGGGCGCCGCGGGAGGGGAGAACAGGCAGGCAGACGGAGGACAAAGCGAGGGAGGGAGAGCGTCTGGTCGACTGGTTGGTCGACCTATTGGCTTGACACACACACAGCAGCAATGTCAGACAGAAGATTGTAGGCTGTTTTGTGCAGTGCGACATTATATTAAACTTATGGTTTCCAACTGACAGGAGTTTCAGGCTCGTGCAGCTGCACGATACGATACCCGATTTTATTTAAATGGATAGGTATTGTTATAATAAATGAGTGTTGTCAGATTAACTACTTAAATACCAATAGATCTTAAGTTTACTGAGCGGCCATCCGAGAAGTATACGCAACCTTCAGAATTTCTCATGGTCAGGCGCCCGAGCGTAAAGGTCATCGTGTAGCAGCCACAGCAAATAGGTAAGTAACAATGCCGAAATGTTTACTGACAAGTTACAATCGTTCTTGCTTTTTTCCTTCTTTAAAATGGAAAACACTAAAACAGGACAGAAGAGATGTGAATAGATCCGTCCATCGTTATCTGCGACAAATGAAAAACTGACTTCAAATAGATAACTTCCCTGATAAGAACCGATAAAATGAAGTTAAGGTTGTAAGGGCCATACATAACCAAACATTGATAGCATTTCATCAATTTGATTAATCATATTATTATTATATTATTTAAATCCGGTATGTTAACGTACTGACCTTTTTGTGTTGTGTTTGTGTACCTACACAAGAAGACCCCGTAGGTAAAGGGTACGTGAATTCATCGTCATTAACTCGTTGAGCACCGTCATTATAGACACAATTAAAGAACAATAGGTTGCGATCACCGGTGACCGCTTGGTATTTGACAGTTTAAGAAGATAAAATTATATCATCAAAAACATATTTAGTAAAAATAGCCAAGTCTCGCAGTTGCGACTTGCAACTTAATTTTTCAACCTTGTTTATTTTTAAAGAAGAATTGCAGACAGAGCAGAAACTGCACATAACGTCTAGATACTTTATACCTATCTCGTGTTAATAGGTGCATATTTTGTAAGCAAAGTGAAATAAATCTTTGTACCTTAAGTACGATTTAGCCAAACTTCGTGGATGACAAAGGTCTGGTTAAATTGACAATTTCATGAATTAGGAACCTCGATTTCGATCATTCTATGAAGTAAGCAAATCTACGAGATGCCCACGACATATCGTACTTGGAATGTCAGACAATGTCACAGAATAATTATCAGCTGAAAAAAGGTTGTTAGCCTGAATACAGTTTCATGTTTATGACGAAATAAGTATGTTTAACTAAAAGTGAAAATATGTACCAAAATGATGTTTAAGAGAGCAAGGAGATTGAATTTTGAGTACATATCACCCTATCACACAGCAAACGATACATTTAATTTTACATGCTAACTAATTACCAAACTATTTCAACTATTATAAGTCGAAGGTCTGTTGGGATACTAATAACTCGTTTCATTAATAACAAGTTAACTAACAGACAGAAAAATGTTTCCTTAATGAGTACCTATGTATCGTGTATTATTTAGAACATTTATTTGTGAAGAAAATACACTTCTGTTTAGCCTACATATATTTATCTTGTAGGTACGAAATATTATAAATAGTAGCTAGTATCTAATCAAATGATTTTAATATCAAGTATAAATTGGTGACTAACGCATTTAACTTGTATTACCTACGCTTGCTTAAGGAAACAAAACCGGTACCCCGCATGGATTCATTTGAAATTGTAATATTGAGAAACATTTAAATTGGATTTGTAAATAAATAATAATAAATAAACGTAATGTGTAGAATATCCTCATGTTGTAGTTCTCGATTGAACCGCTACTGCTACCCACTACGCACCACGGCACCACAGATAAATAAAAATAAATACGCGGATAATCTTCGTGGGGGTAACGCACTTATTTGGATCTATAGCTCTCTCTGTCTTACACTTCGATCGTTTTATTTTTCAATCCTATGCCAAGTCATTGCCTTAGTACCAGTTTAGTTTATTTATTTTTAATGTTGGCAATTTAACTTGTGGCAAAATTTACGAACCTTTCACTAGTAGGTTCTGATTCTACTCTTAGTCTGTTCTTATTGTTAACGTGATTGCATTTTTTGTGGTTTGCAAATCTGATACAACTAAACTTTAAACGCCCTCTCTCATACAAAGTGAGTCACACTAGTTTTTATCATCAATTCTTCAGTTTTTCCCCAGTTGGAAAAAAGACTTGCCGACATAAGATAAAATTAAAAATGGACCTCAAAATCTGCTGGATGTTATTTTAAACATTATGTACGTACTTGCATTGGATTTAAATTAGGTACAATCAAAACCAAAAATAGGTAATCGTGTGCATAAAAATTACTTCATAAGTAAAGCTACTTCGACATTGGAATTAACACTCATTGTAATTCCTTACTGTTTTCTACAGTTTGGAAATATATAAAAATAATCAATTCGATTCACTCGAAGATATATTCACTATTCAGTTATATTGCAAAGTCTTCGTCGTATTGCAAAACTGACAAGGTCAATAATACTTAAATGGTTAAGCCACACACGCACAGTTTACCTCAAGCTCAGCACATTGATTGTGGGCAACCGGTCAGTCGCATATCACGTATTTCACAACTTTAAGTTTATTTGCGGCGTTTTGTCGTCATTGTCGGCGGCAGTTGTTGCGAAGCGATGCGTGAGAGCAGTGTCAGCAATGTGGGCACGTAGCACGTACCACCGCGGTTGGATAAAGACTGGGACCAGTTCTAGAGAAAGTGACCGTTTCCAAGCAAATACTTTCCAAGTGCTCGTCGTGTTTCGACGAGTTGTGCGCGCTGAGTTACAGAGGCTCTAGCGGAATATCGTTACCCCGATTTTGCGTAACGAGGCCGCCTTTAAAGTTCGTCATAATGATCTCTGTTACGGGCGGCAACTAAATTTCACTTATTCCACTAGATTGCGCAACTGATGAACTGGCACGTACGGTTAAGAATCAATCAAAATAATAGGTATATTGAATTATAATATTGTCACGAGCACTACTAGCGACACGAGCTGCAAATGATTTTTTGCCAAACGCTTCTTCTAAATTGTAATTGTAGAAAACAGTCGAAGTTTACTAGACACTTTGAACGTAACTGTACCTACGTCTGTACTTGTGCTAATTAATAAGAGTGGTTGCATAATCATTGTTGTTAGGTGTGAATTTACTTTGAAATTAATATTGTTTTAACTATATTTATTGTCTATGTTGGCAACAAATCCAATTCATTTTTCACATCTTTATACTCGTTCAATATTTTAATTTCAATAATAGATAAGTAGTTTAAGTAGTAGATAACTAGATGCCGACATACCTACAACGGTAAAAACAATTTATAAAACCTGGCAGTAACGTTCACGGATTACTAAGAATCTAAATTTTGGAGAAACCAGCGATGAATATAAAGAGAGAAATAAAAGTGATTCAAAGTAGTGGTGTGCGGTGGTATTAGTTTTCCGTTATTCGAAACGGTTCACTCTCGGAGCTGGTACGATACGCGACGTAACGTTACACGGATCGGGCTACAAACTTAAAAATACAGTCAGATAAGGTGTCACAACATACTTTACACGTGTGTACAAACTTTGATGATGTCATCATAATGCAGTGTCATTAGCAATGTTCATGTTTTCCTGACGAATGCTGCAAGTGATGCTGATGTAGGTTAAGTAATTAGTTACTTAATCGTACTGATACTGAGACATGCGCGAGACTAATGTTTAGGTTTAAAGGTCATTTCACATTTTGCAGACATACATAGAATACATACGCATCACGGTATAAATCAATTGAAATAAATACTAATATTTAGTACCGAACCTCTTTAGAAAAGGAATTGTTTTATTATGGAAAATATGTTGGTCCAGTAGGTACCCTGTAAGGGTTTGCCACGTAACTCTTTCTGTTTATGTAATGTAAAACCTTCTTATGCCCAGTGCGGATACCCTACCTACGGATATTCTACAAACTTGCGAAACCATAGACATGCTGAGGAATAGTTACTATTACTACTTACTGGCTGGTTAGCAACGTAGACAAACATAAATTCATCAAAATGTTATCCAATACTATTTAGTATTTGTTGAACGAATGGTGAAGTGCGCCTAGTTTTTTAAATATCCCGCGAAGTTGATAGCGAAGATTATTTTTAAAGATAAATAAACACTGAGACTTGGCTAGTTTTTTTTACAGAATGTGTTTAGTAGAATAAATTACTATGACTACTATGGGTACAGCCGCCTGCCAGACGCTAAAATTATAATATAGCAAACACAAATCTCTCACAGGTATTAGACGCTCATCATAGTTCACAGTTATAGTGCACTGTCAACTGTTCATGAAAAGGATGACCTACTTGCATCAAATAGAAATATTGCATCTCGCGCAATATTTTTCAACGGATAAGCTACATAATTTATTATCTTTTATTGTACCTACGAAACTTATAAAGAAAATTATGAAAGCTTATTAAATCAATAATAAGAGAATTATAAAACCTTACAATCAAGTCATATATTCCGTCAGATTATAATATTCTCGATCAGTAGGCACAATATAAAAATGTTCGCAAGTGTGACACAAACAAACCATTAGGACCTGCCTACTCGACCACAGACTACACCTAATCAACGCTAATACAGATAATAAATGAGCATTATCTCTAAGTAAATAACGTTCAATGACACTTCCATATCAAATTACTGTATTCATTTGATGTTTACTTTAT